TTTTTTATATTTGGGATTTTGGATTTTCTGCTGCTATAATTGGCCAGGCACATTGCATGATTCATTACTAAGTACTAGTGATTGGCTCTGAGATGCCATTTGTGCCAAAATAAATGTATTAATTTTTGCTATATCCCCAAATAAAATTGTGTACTAGAAATAAGTGTTGCCAGGATATAGGTAACACAATTTTATTTTATATAAATTAATGCTTCAGTTCTGATAAAGACCTGTACTCGGTGATAGCCCTTGTTTCCATTGTGATCTTTAGGTCCTGTCCCAGGATATAACTCTCAACAGTTTATTAACTCTTAGGTATCTGTTTATTGCTAGGTAATGGGGACGGCAAGTGAAGTTGTACTTTGTCACTGATATCAGCAAGTTTATCCAAATGGCAGGTTTAGTGACTTGTTAAAATATAACCATGAAATCCACAATCTAATTTAGTTTTAGGTTAAATTGGGTGATGTTAGGCTAGTGCTTCGCCATAATTTCACAAGATTTATATATGGGAGTTGCTGGAAATGGGCTTTTGATTCAAGGTATACCCAACTTTTCTGATCAGTTAGATCATTTCCCACTCTCCAGGTGCTCTGCAACCCCTGTGGGTTCAGTGCTTTCCCATATATACAGTAAACCCTCGATATAAGGGAATTTTAAAATTATAGGCAAAAAACCCAAAGGTTAAGTAGTACTTTTCAATGTTTATTGCAGTATATTTTTAAATTTTGTACAATACTATATTAGGTATACAGTAGAGTACTTTATTGCACATTTTTACTGTTTTTTAACATTTTGATACAATGGAAACACTCCCATTAACCCATTAGAGCAAGTCGCTCCTGCCTGGATGACACCCGAATTTGCATGAGTGTCATCCATCGCAGACACTGCAAGTCTCCAGGTGGACATCAACTAGATCTTTAAATGGGCTGCAAAAAACAATATGAAGTTCAGTGAACACATGGTAGATGGACATGTTGATCTTCATCTACCATTTGTAACTCCCCAAGTGATAGAAGTTTGAATCTTGTAGCATATAAGTGGGTTTGTGCTGGCCCATGTTAATTATTTCAACATTGAAGCTGTTCACCAGTTGTAACTTAAACCCACCCCTCAAGGAAGGTTCCTTGATGCTGGTGAGGGGCTCTTGAACTAGGGAATTGGCTCTGTGCTCCAGTTTCCTGAATTAAACCTGAATACCTTCCACATTCTCCCCCCCCCCCCCCACAGGTGCTGTGTAATCCTATGGATTTAGTGCTTCCCCCCTTGATTATAATAATGATAATAATATCTTAAACCTAAGTCCACCTGCACACTACTAAAACTAGCAGTAGCTGAGAGAAATCACACTAACCATATTACCTAGTAGCCCTTGTCCATAGTTCAGATGGGTTAGGGAAGTCTTTACACTGGGACTAGTAATTTGACATTTACAGTGGAGCTAGCTCAATTTAAATACAATTGTTATAATCCATGATTAACTGGAATTTGAACCTTTTATTTCAGTTTGTGAAACTGTCTGCCTCTGCTGATCTGGCTTTTACTCATAGTTGCTTTATTGATTTTATGTTTAAAACTTTTAATGTGAAGTTTTTTAATTCAGTATGTTATTCTTATGACAGGTGCGCTCACAGAGCACAGCAGCTGCTGCTGCACCACAGGCAGTACCAGAAAAGAGGTTAAAGAAATTTTCTGTTTATCGTTGGGATCCAGAGAAGCAGGGAGACAAACCCCACATGCAGACATATGAGGTCGATCTAAATACGTAAGTCAGTAATTCTTATTTCTGCACTTAAAATTTTTCTAATGCATTTTATAAAAATTCCTTTAAATTTTATTAAAGAAAGGAAAAATATTAAGATAAGTATATTGTCTAGCTTTTGTTTCCTTCAATAATTGAGAGAGAAAAGTTATCAAAATAGCAGATACAAAAATTCATCTGTAATGTACTGTATTACACATAAAGGAAAGAATATGAGGGACAGTGATGTTCTGGGGTCTAGTAAGTTCCTGATACTGTAAACATATATTTTCTCCTTGTTGGTATATTTGATGAAATTAATTTAGTATTAAAAAAATATAGGGTGAAGGAACCCTTAAAATTGGTCAGTTATGTTCATGAGAAAGAAAAGAAATTCATAGTACAAAGCTTTTAACTGCTACTGCTTCCTACTTTTATAACAAGTGGTAGTATTATACCTCCCTGGATGGTTGCGGGGTTCTTTCAGTCTAATAAGGTAGTTCATTATAAAGATAAGATTTCGTTCGGATTATTACCCCAGGTGTGTTAGCCACCCAGGATAAACCCAAGAAAGTCAGTGCGTCATCGATGACTGTCTAACTAATTTCCATTGGGGTCCTAATCCTTGTCCCCCAGGATGCGACCTACACCAGTCGACTAACACCCAGGTACCTATTGCTGCAAGTGAACAGGACAACAGGTGTGAGAAACATGTCGAAATGTTTCCACCCGCCGGGAATCGAACCCGGGCCCTCCGTGTTGAAGCGGAGCTATAGCCCCAGGTCACCAGTCACAGTAACAGCCCTCCCTCACTTAACAGCGTTTCCATTCCTAAGATCATGTCACTAAGCCTAGGCGCATAATAAAATGTAGGGGTTTGTGTCAACCATCTTTTGATATTGTCTTATTGTCATCTTGCCTATTTATGACATTTTTCGTCTATTTTTAAATGTTTTACAGGGTTGATTACTGTTTAATGAAGTAAAACAGATTAGAGGAAAATCAGCTCTGAATACAGTGGACCCTCGGTCATTGCCGTAATCCATTCCAGAAGGTCCGGCCGATAACCGAAATGGCCGAAAACCGAATTAATATTCCCATAAGAATTAATGGGAAATACAATTAATCCGTTCCAGACCAAAATATTCACCAAAAAAAAAATTAACAGTTATAAGTATTACATACCATTATTGAAGGCTAATCCAGGGTTCAGGGAAGATAAGGGAAGAGAAAGAGGAGGAGTTAGTGTTTTGGAAGGGGCAAATGTAGTCCCTGTTACAAAAAAATGAGCAGAGCAGAAATCAGCAACTACAGACAAGTGGTCCACTCCTGTCAATCACTGGTAGACCTTGAGACAATAATCTCCAAAGACAAAAGACAGAGTTTTTTTGACTACCCCGGAGGAAACTCGAGTGGTGGCACTACATCGTACAGCATAATGATGTCAACGAGATAGTCAGTTGATCAAATGAAAATGCTGGCCCACAGATGGCTCTAACTTCATCCTGTTCCCTACTTGTATGTCTCTTAACAATAAAGATACTTTCAAATGAGCTGATGTAGGTAACAGCTCTTAGCTTGCCAATAAAGTTAGGAATCCTTAACCAGTAAATAGCTCATCAATAAAGCTAGGGATCCTTTAACCTTGTCAAACCCTGTGTAAAATAAAAGGGGGGGGATCCCCCTCCATAAAGACTTTAGGTAGCAAAGCCTTCTCTGGGGTTACTTCCCTTCTTTTGTCTTTTAATGGCACTAGGACCAGCTTGAGAGTCACTGGACCCCTTTCTCACAACAAATCTGTCCATAGAGGTCTGTTTCTGGCATTTCTCTAAGATTTCCCTGAAGTGGGACAGGGGTTGTCACTGAACATGTTGCAGATATGGCTTGGTCAGGGTGGTGTTTCTCTACAAAAGCTTGCACCCTAGCCCACATTGCACACACCTCTTTAATCTGTCATTGACTGGCTAACAGTAAATTCATTCTTACCTAAAATATTTGTGGTCTTAATGTAGGGAAAGAGGTGAGTAGTATTTATTTGTAGGAAGTCAGTGTAGGTAGCGGTAGATGTAGGTACAGTACACGTATTTAGCCCCCCATCCCCCGGGCTACACTACACAGCTATATTATTACACTACATAGCCATATTATTACACTACACAGCCATATTATTACCATATCTCACTGAGTTTGATAATTTCTAGGGGGGGGACAACTACCTTTAGATGCCATCATAAACAAAGGGAGAAGTAATGAATAATTCATGCCGAGAATTGTAAACAAACGCATATAAAGGGCAGTTACTGCACCAGTCGCCAGATTCACAGTTTTCTCTAACGCTGCATCAGAGAAAATGTAATGTTTACTCTCCATCCCACTCTCCACTCGTTAACATATAAACATTGCATTTTATATGGCCACATGATAAGTAACGTGTTTCTCATATATTTTTTGAAGAAAAAACAAAGAATGAATCCAATGAAAATGTCTATAATTACGTGAAATAAGACATTTAATGTGGCAAAGAGTGATTATTAAATATCCATTGCATAAAAATAAACATTGCAAGTTTACGTATATGCTATTTAACATGTTTCTATATAATATGAAGATATAATAGAATGAATAATGAAAAGTTATATTAACGTAAAATAAGACGTTTAAAGTGGCAAAGAGTGCTGTTATTAAATTATACATCCATATAATAAACAATGCAATGTTTATATGCTAAAGTAACGTGTTTCTTATATAATTTGAAGAAGAAATAATAGATGGATTAATTTAACAGGTCAATATTAATGTAAAAAAAAGGATTCCATGTACCATTGATTAGTATTAAATAGATAACGCATATAAACCATTGCATGTTTTTTATATACTTGATGTATCGTGTTTTCTTTGGGGCTTAGTTTGCTTATTTTGCAGTTGCACTCAATAACCACAATAATGGATAATAGCAAAATGTTTGGATGAATGAGCAGAATTTCCTCACTCGCCCTGAGACAAAGCCAAAACTGACTCGCAAGCAGTCCCAGCCAGTGGATGATGCCTCCAAACTTGCTGATAACTGAATTAACTGCCGATCGGGCGCCGAAAACGGCCCGCTAACGAACACCACCGGCCCGATAACCGTGGGTTCAACTGTACATTATTTAGGTATCAACTGGTCAGAGAAGCCCATCATAGTCTAAGTTGTTGGTAAAATGAGGCGAAGAGGCTGTACGTATATGGGAATTGGACAGTTTAGCTTTAACCATTGTGTGAGTTCAGTAATGAATTAATTTTTCGCACCACAGTACAGTAAAACCTTTTAGATTATTAACCACTACACAACAGATTTTTTATAAAATGGGCAATAAAAAGACTGAACAAAGGCTTTGTGAATCCACTGCATGGAGTATGTCTGTTAGAATTATGATGCAGTGGACCAAGTCAGCTGCATTGCAATAGGTGTCTTTATGGAATGGCTGGTAGTACCCTTGATTAAGCTGACCTTCTGTTTTTATAGGTCTGTTGACCTATTATTAATACTATTCCTTGATAATGAGGAAAAAAACGCTTAGATTTTCTCTTATGTCACTGGTTATTTTGCATATATATGTAATCTATAACCAATATAATACAGGTTAATCACACGGCAATATTTTAATTGTGAGCCAGTCAAAAGAGGATCCTTTAGAGCTATCTCATAGAAATCAGTTTAGGGAAAGGTCTGTAAGAAATTTTAAGCAGAGAGCACCTGCACATGTTAATTACTTACAAATTTGCATAGTACAGTAAACCCTCCCGGGATTTCAGCCCATAATCCGTTTCCAGGCAGCCTAAATCCTGAAAAGCGAAAACCGAAATAATATATTCAATAAGAATTAATGTGAATACAGTTTAATTCCGTTCCAGACACCCAAAAATATTTAACAACAAAATACATTTTTTAAAGGATAAGCATACACAAAACAATGAGAACTAAATAAAATGGCTAATGAAATGGATAAATTAACCCTTGAGGGTTAAGGCCATACTATACGGCTTACGACCCAGGGTTTTTGAATGTACTAGTACGCCTATAATCCGATCTCCCACAAATCTAGTGGGAGAAAGCTGGTAGGGCATACATATGAAAGAAAGGGTCCTCAGTGGTCAGTTGTGCACAGTATAAAAAAAATCCGCCAGCACCCAGTGCATAATGAGAAAAAAAAACTTTTGACCATTTTTTTGGAATAAAACACGACTTTGCACTGTATATTTCGTATGGTATTTAATGTTGTATTCTAGTTTTTCTTGGTCTCGTTTATAGAACATGGAAGACTATACAGAAATTGAGATGATTTCTGACTGGTTTTACAATGAAAAGTACCTTGAAATTGAGCTCAAAATGCAGAAATGTTTGGATATGTAACCCAAAGTTCAAAAGTAGAACAAATCTTGCCCAAGCGTCCAATACACGTCAACCTGTGAGTCTAATATTCTTCACAATGTGCAGATATTATTTATACCATTTCTACACAATGCAGCTGCCTGCATAACATTAAATCTTCTATTTTTGTGAGAAAAAAAATGAAAGTGGAAAGCCAAAGAAATATAAGAGGGGCCTGGGGATGTGACTAACGAACAGAGGAAATGTTTATTTTAGTGCCCGGAATGTTCCTTTCTGTTTATCTGGACCCTATTTGGAAATTGGCATCTTTTGAAATTGTGAGAAATTGGCAAATTGTCTAAATTCTGAACACTGTATTGATAGTTAAAATTAGTAAATGGGTGGTTTCTTGTACTCAATCAATAAAACAATAGAGTTCTAGAGAAAATAAGTTATGATTTTTGTCAACTAGTACACTGGAAATTGGCCGAAAAAAGGGCTCAAAGTGGGCAAAACGCCGATGCGTAAACATCACGTTGAGAACCGCCACCTCACAAGAGTACAATTCTGTAAGTTTTTCCATCAATTTCATACTTTTGGTGTCATAATGCTCGGAAAAGATTCCTCTAACTATTCATAAGATAAAATAAATTTTTTTTTTTTTTTAACTTGG